GGTCTACGAATGAGATCTCATTTTCATGTTCCAGTGGTCCAGTGGATCAAATGCTGCAGATGCAAAAAATAATTGTTAACTTTAACTTTAAAACTTAATGTGTAACTTGTGACAAAAATGCTTATAGATTAGAAGTAATTAGAAATATTATTATCCTCAGTTGGTAGATACACATAGAGACATAACACTTTTCTTCCCCTTTTTTAGAAATTTAGAGACTATGTGGACAGGACAAAGCATATCAGGGAAACAGGCATGATGTCTGCAAACACAACATCACCCAACATACCATCCCCTTATCCAGACCTTCAATCTGATTCTAGGAAGGTTTGAAAGGGTCAGAAATGGACAATCAGTAGAGATCTAAATGTGGGATGACAGAATAAAATGTATTTGACATTTCACTAAACCAGGGGTCCTCAAACTTTAAGACTTGTGGACTTAAAGCTGGCTGGAGAATTTTGGGAGTTGAAGTCCACAAGTCTTAAAGTTGACAAGTTTTGAGACCTCTGCTCTAAATCATCCCTCTGCCCCATCAATTCCTGAAAGGCAGAACATTCAGATAAAAGAAAATGTAAACAAATGTATAACAATATGAGATACAGGGGTGAGGGTATTTATCACAATAAAATCAGAAAGTAACAGTAAAATAAACTGTACAGTAATAAACAGGACTCTAAGTTCCATAATTTGGATCGTATTATAGGAAACGCCTTTCTTCTATGCCCACCAACCTAACTTCTAGGATTCTATGGCACATAATAAAGCCTTTAGTAAAAAATATGGCAGAAAGACACAATATTTCTCATTATCAGTCCCAAATTTTAGATGTATAAGTAAGAACTGGGTATTGCATTGGACCTGGAAGCCAATGGGAAGCCAATGTATTTGTCCCCATTGACCAGCGTTATATGATTCACAAAACACATTTTAGACAAGAGGATGGTTGCCATATTTATACTAGCTAATTTTATGAACATTTATCAAGAGAAGTCTCAGGGTGTGTTATCTTAATACGAAAAAGTAATTACATAACATCAATTTGCAGTATTAATGTGTGTGCCACCCAATGCCCAATAAGACTGAATGGCTCACAATAATCGAAGAGATTACAATAAAACCAATAATAAGTGAAAGATGACAAGTGTGACAGACCACATGGAATGAAGTGAAGGGTTTCACTCTCCCTTGCCAAAGGCCTAGATGAAGAGCCACAGCTTTTCTCAACAACGGCGGGATGGGTGCGGGGGAAGAGTATCCATATCCCAGGAAATACAGTTTATACAATATATAAAACAGACTATTATATATCAAAGAAAAGCTGGTATACTATACAAATGCACTACTAACCATAGCAGTTGGCCTTAAAAATTGCAACATGTACAATCGACCTTGCTCTTGGGGGGCGGGGGGGACTTTACCTTTTATGAATAACAGAATATTTGAGTTGGAAGAGACCTCTAAGGAGATTCAGGGTATTAAGAACAAGGACGACTAGATTTAAGAACAGTTTTTATCCAAGTGCAGTTTTGAGTTTGAATGCAGGGTCATAAGATTTTTGTGGAATTTAATGGCTGAGAGTAATGGGGTATTTACATTTTTAAATTGTATAGAGATTATTGTATGGTCTGTTGTGTTTAATTTTATTTTTCTTTCAAATGGTGTTGTCCAGTTTTACTTGTGGAAGAGCACCTCATTTCATTGCACCCGCTTGCGAGTGTAATGACAAATAAATTCTTATATATCTTATATGTCTTAGAAATCTTCTAATCCAAGCCCTTGCTCAAGCAGGAGACTCTATACCATTTCAGATAAATGGTTGTCCAATCTCTTATTAAAAACCTCCAATGAGTTATATTACCAACTGGGGTTGGATTGTTCTCCTGCCCAAAAAAGTTTTGAGACTCAAATCCTCATTTATTCTATTTAAGTAATGGTTCAAGGCTAATGCAGCCTTATGGATACCAACGATACAAGTTAGAAGAGGCTTAGCAATCTTTGTGGTACAAATTTGATGTACCAAAGATCAAAAGGCTAAGCAAAAGGCCTTTTAGTATTCCCCCTTTGAGAATATATGACCAAATATAATTAGAAACATGATAAGATAGCATCTTTAATTCCCAAGAATGGGTGGAAATAGTATTTCTAAGAGAAATAGCTGATTTGGGGAAAGATTATTTTTTGCATGTGTTGAATGAGGTTACGTGCCTACTAAATGAGCTTGAGATTAATTTAGATAATCAGAACTGTGGCAACTAATGTCTTTCCTGACACTGCACCAGGTGTGGCATCCTGGAAAAAGCTGACCTGCCCAATCCTGCTTATGCATATTAAACTTTATAGTGTAGTCTGTGTAAGACTGTCTTCAAAAATGGGAAAACTGCTGACAGATCTGCATCAGTTACAACAGATTCCTTTTTTATGGCTCAAAGATAGCAATAAGATATGAAAGACAAGGCTATTGCAAGATTGTGAGAAGTCTAGCATCCTAAATGGTAGATTTCAGGAATAATTGGGGATTGTCAACAGGATGAATAATTTAAAAAAAAACCAGACTCTAGATCAAGGTTCTTCAAACTTGGCAAGATTAAGACTGATGGACTTCAATTCCCATAATTCTGAGCTAACAGGAGGAAGAATTCTGGGAGTTGAAGTCCACAAGTCTTAAAGCTGCCAAGTTTGAAGACCCTTACTCTAGATCCTTGGGTAACCAGTAAGACAGAAGCTGAACAACCAACAGAAGCTTCAGATTTATTTACAGAAGGAAAATGCCTCCAACATCCCTTTATATTGGGGTGGGCAATTATGGCAACTTTACAACCCATGGACTTCAATTCCCAGAATAGCTGGCTCAGGAATTCTGGGAGTTGAAGTTCCCAGGTCATAAAGTTGCCATAGTTTCCCACTTTTGCTTTGATCATTCACTGATGCAATTGCATGTGCTTATGCACCAATCAAATGAACACAGGTTCTGCCAGATGTCTCTTTTAAGTATAGACCAGGGCTGCCAAACTCACAGCCTGGGGGCCAGATGCACCATGTGCTGGCCACACCCATGCCTGGTTTAGCAAAGGGGAAAAAAGTCATGATACGTCACATGACACCGCCATGACAATGTGACCCCGACACCCCTGTATAGACTATTCTTACAGACTTCATGTTGAAGAGCTCTCAGTTTCTTCTACTTGAAGGGAAACCGCCATGAAATCATCTTCTGCTGTATTGTCCACATACATTTATGGACTTTCTGAACCTAAGATTTATCCTCTGTACTCCCTTCTGATGAGAAATCCTCTAAGGAGGCATGACACTTAATTTATATTATGCTTTTATTTCTCCTCCCCTCCCCTTTTATTTATTTCCCCACTTTTTCATTCTTTTAAAAAGCTTTTTTATATAGGTTTTTAAAGAGTGTGTTTGCATTATAAATATTTTAGTACTTTGTTCTTTTCCCCTTTCTTTTTCTGGTATTATTTTAAAAGCCATCAAAATAAATAAATAAAAATGAAGCATAGCTCTCTATAAATTTTGGGTGTAGAATTTTATGCTGGATGCCCTTTTTTAAAACCAGCTGAGCTGAGTTATCAGAAGGACTATTTCTTTTCACAATGAAATACCACACGTGGTGACAATTTATCTTATATGCTGTATAGAATAGGGCAAGACTTTTCAGCAATAGTGCCTAGGCTATGGAACTTTTTTCTATCTATATAGAGGTATTTTGGCAGAAGCTCAAAGCATTCTCTTCAGAAAAGCTTTCAGTGAATGGCAATTCTGATCTAAGCTCTTTTTTAAAAAAAATTGCTGTTGATTTCTAATATATTTTTTCATTCTTATTCATGCTTTATCTTTCCATGCAATTAGGGATTATATGTGTTAGCACAAATCTTTAAAAAGTTCCTAGGACATACTTCTTGGAAATTAATGGGAAAAATATATTCTAGTCACTTTTCCAAGCACTGTAGGAGACTGTGACACAGCAATTGAAACAAAACTCTGAGTAGACATGGTAGTTAAAACAAGAACAAAGAGCTGTCAGCTGTTTTACAATGTCATAAAGGAACAGAATAACAGTTTCTGCCAAATATATTTTAAAAATTATGAAAATATACTATGAAAATGTCACACCTCCTCCTACACCTCATCGGGCAAGGGGGAACCTGATGGGTCAATTTCTCATTGTCTCTCTCTCTCTCTCTTAGGGAAAAGCCTGACAAAATTATCAGCCTGGTCATAATTTAAATTTGGATTCTGTAGAATCCATTCAACTCTCTGATATTTATTTCAAGCTGCCTCCCACCCTCTAGAAGATTTCAGTTCATCTGTCCCTGCAGTTTTTCAGAAATGTTGTTCTAATACATTCATGCTGCAAACATTTATGTTTGTAATTTCTCAGAAACATGTGTATGCTTTAATAATTAATCAGCTTCAGATACTGAAAACTCAGAGTACACCATGAACTTCACTTTCTTCTTTTGCAAATACTGAAGAAAAAACAAGCACAGGACAGCCCTGTATATAATATAGATATTGCCCAAGCTACATAAAATGCTGCTGCTTTCCAGTAGAAACAGACACTTTTCTACCCCTCCCCACAAAATATTCTGCTAAAAGTCTTGATAAGGACAAGTCTTTTCATAAAACAGTTTTCTTCTGTAACTCAAGTTTGCTTCATGCAGCTTTGCTACTGTAAACAAAATAAACGTCCCAAATTCTCAAGCAAGACCAATATTCCTAACTGGCACATTGAACCAAAACTCAACAGGGTTTGGAAGAAAAATGGAATTACTGGGAAAGGGCCAAAAGCCATTACAAGTTCTTGAAGCAGGCAGCTTGGCTTTCATAGCAGCACCAACCTGTAAGTGTTCTAACAATAGCTGGCTTCTGGAAAGGGACTTCTTCGAACATTCCAGTCAGGTCCTTTTCTCAGGAGGATTAAAAAAAAATGATAGAGGGCGCTTCAACTCAGCTTTGCCTGTTCTTACTGGAAATAAAAATATGTTTGATTAAAAGTTCATATTGCATTTCCTTAATCTAACAAATTGGTACTTAGAGCCCATATTCCTTCAAGCACTCAGAGTGGAGATATATACAGGTATTACATTATGTCATGTCCTCCTATATAGGGTTTTTCACACACACATCCTTTGGGGAGGGGAGAATTTTTCTTTTTGTATACAGTGAATATCTTGCATGGTGTTTTCAATTACACTAACCATCAGCAGGCTCAATTGTGTCCTATTTGGGACTCCAGTTGGCAGCCAGGCATTATTCCACAGAATAGAGATGTTATTTTATAACATACTAATTTTTGGAGTAGTTCAGGGTGTGTTTATTTTTTGTTTTTGTTTTGGTATACAAATTAATCTTGTATGAGTAGTTATTGAAAATTATTTTATTATTTTTGGATGGATAAATTGCTATGATAAATAATCATAATTCTTTCTCAGTACTCCACTTTATTTTCCTAGGTTTGTTGAAGGATTGTACAAATCCTTTACTACCATGAAGGACAAGCAAATCGGGTAAGTAATGGAGACTGTTCCCTGTTATCTGTCTTTCATTTTCCAGAATTTTATCTCTTCCTGATAAACAGCTCTTTATTTTTCTACTCTTTCTTAGTGCTTTATTTTTACTGTGGCCTTCTACTTAGTGTACTTAATTTCTGTGAAGTGTTTTGGCAATGAGACTGTGTCTTTTATTTCTCTGAACCCTCTTTAAATGCCTATACATTCACACACATCATTTAGTCATTTCACAGCTAAGGCAGGTGCAAAACTCTATACCTCTCCCATAGTAATGTTATTTAAAGATTAAGCTTCTTTGGAAAAAGAAAAAAGTTGCTTTTCCATTTCACTGGAGAAAAATGGTTCCCAAAATACCACACTCCAAAAACTTGATCATTTTAGCATAGCACTAGAACTAGTTTAAAAACATTTAAAAGAACTTTAGTCATAAAATCCAGCATCAATATCTATGGAGAGTCTCAGTCTTCTAGGTCATTGTTGTCCCAAAGGTGTTTTGCATGAATTTAATTGAATAAAGCAGTTTGTTATGTTAATGTAGCTAAAAGTATAAATCATATTATATTACATAATTGAGATTATTTAGTAAATAGTTTGGTTTTTTTTAAATTAGAAGCTTACCTGTGATCAATCAAAATTTACTATTTAAAAAGTATACCCTTTCCTAATGGCATAACATTCAGTTAGTATTAAGTTAAGAAGACTGTAAGTGCCATTTATTTTAAATGTTAATCTTCCTGAAACACTCCGTTAGCAATGAGGCATTTTATTTATTGTTGTTTTAGGCACAAAGTTCCATTGTTAAAATGTTCCAATGAAACTGAAGCTAAAAAGCAAGCGGGTATATAATGTGGTTTGAAACTGGGGTCTTTTTTCTGCTAGTGGCAAGAAATTCTTATAGAAATAAATTCAGCTCTCCTGAAGTGTTAAAAATCTTTGAACATTCTTCCCAAATTATTATTATGTTGCATTTCAAAATAAACTTTCTCTTGCTCCGAAAGCCTGATTCAATTGCTTGAAAATAATTCCGCTGATGTAAAATTAGTGGGCATAACTGATAATTGTTATATACAGCTTCATCCATTACCTAGCAAAACCTGTTATGGAAGCAAGGGAGTCTATTCAAAGACAGTGTCAATCATAATGGAAGCATTGTGGTTGCACATTTTCTTTTTCACTACTTTTTTTCTTTTATTTCACCTAAGTCTCTTAATCATCTCACAAAGGCTTATGACATTATCTGCCTTTATGAATCAGAGAGTCCAGCTTAGATTTTTTTTTAACCTTATGCCTTCCATTTTGTGGTTTCCCACCAAATCCTGAATAATCTGAGGAATCATACAGTTTCTACCATGGGTGTTCACAGTAAATAGAGCTTTCATCACTACATGTGCTTTGTGATGGCACAACAGAAGTGCTGCCTCCTGTGTACTTGTGTGCAGTGTCATGTAATAATAAAAGGGGCAGAATTTGCATTGCAAAGTTGTGGTGCCCATTTTTATCATTTGCTTTCCTTCCATTCAACCTCAGGACACACCTGTGGTCATTATCTTTGTTTAAGAATATAAAACCACATAAGGTTTGATCATATAATTCAACAAATGGAGCTCCATTTACTGTAATTCCCAGTTGCCTTAGTGACATAGTATTCTGAACCAAATAATTTCATGCATTGTCATGATTAGCAGCCCTACTGCTAGATCCTCATATTAATCAACTTAACTTCCTTTTAAAATTGATTAAAGTGGTGGCTGTTCTTACAGTATTAACTTTTGCTGGATGTTGTCAATGGACTAAATGCCATTACAGGCCAGAGAAAGAAGATATTTCTGCAAAAATTTGGACAACTGAACAACTGCCCTTTTTTTTCCTGTTAAAGAATTTTAACATAAAGTATCTTCTGAAGCCTAATATGGCCTTATAAAAGTACTGTTTTGTTTTGCAGTACCATATAGAAAAATACTTCTTTTTCTGTATTGGGAACAATTATTTTTAGTATTTTTTTCTATTATCATTCAGACCTTTGAAAACTACTACAGTACAACATGAATAATCATTCTGTGTGTGTTGCTATACCATCAGAGATTATACTAAAAATTCCTTGTCTTTGCTTTCTGGGATGTGATATGTCATTTGAAGACAGTGCCACAAGGCATAGAATAATATTGTCTGGATTTTCAAATCTGAACATCTTTGATAGCAGGGCTGAATAAGATTTTTGTCTGATGAATTGTTAGTTTCTCATCAGCTAAAGAAGACAATACTGGACAGAAGAGCACATGTTTTAAATTTTGATGGTGAGGATAAGGTATGGGAAAAATTATTTTGCTTCATGTTTTAAAATGAATATGTTTAGCTGATACTCAGTATAACTATATTTAAAACAAGATAAATTATCATTAGAATTTTTTTTCAAATAGTTGTATTTCAAATCTTTGCAATACTTTGAAAATGCTTGAATAGCCAGACAAATGATTTTATGTAATAAAGTTCAGTTTTCCAGTTTTAAAAATACTTTGTTGTACTGACAAAATTGTCAAGTGATTTTGATCTTTATACCATAAAACCTAAATGTCTATAGCCATTCTCAGTCATCCAGGTCCTGGTTGTCCCAAAGGTGCTTTTTCAAGAGGCAACTAGACTTTCTGGTTTTTCTTTGAAGACATTTCACTTCTCATCCAAGAAGTTTCTTCAGCTCTGACTGGATGGTGGGGAATGAAAGGATTTATACTCCTTGCAGACAGCTGGACATTTGCATTCTATAACAGTCCTTTCAACAGTTCCAAGAAAGCTCCACACCCATTTCACCACTCAGGTGACCCTGATGGCACAGATAAACCTCCAGGTGACCTTAATAACTCTCACTAAAAGAATCCAAATGACCAGCTGTCTGCAAGCAGTATAAATCCTTCCATTGCTCACCATCTAGTCAGAGCTGAAGAAGCTTCTTGGATAAGAAGCAAAACATCTTCAAAAGAAAAACCAGAAAGTCCAGTTGCCTCTTGAAAAAGCACCTTTGGAACATAAAACCTAAACAAATCAAAGTTGCTGATCCAAAGCCAATATATACTCAACTTAAGCTTAGTTATTAAATTCATGTGGCATATCATGCAAAAATTTGTTTTAACCATGTTGAAGAAGCCATAATATAGGATCTGACTTTGTATCTAATATAAACTGCAAATCACATTTTGGTTTAGTGCAACGTGAGAACTCAATGTGTGTATCTTATTTCCAAGGAAACATTTAAGTTTATTCTCTCTAGATTTCCTACTAAAATATCTAGTTTCTATTCAGTTATGTTCGGTCCAAATTCAACAATAGAATCTGCTAATTAAAACTGCATTTAACATCTGGTTTCATGTCCATGTGAAAGCTCTAAGGAGGCAACAACATATCATGCCGGCAAAAGGTTATCCAAGACCAACAAACTCTCATCCCTTTCTCTCATGTTATGGAATTGGCAGCACAGTTACAACTAATGAATCATGCATGCATTAAATCTTCTCCTTGAAACAAAACCTAAGTAGAAAAATGCCCAGGGTAGCACAAAGCATATCTACTGCTTTATATATAAGGTTTTTCATAGTTTCTTGCGTAAAATGTCAGGATTTTGTTTTTCTTCTGGGGAAAGGCAAACCTGTCAATCTCTGCTATACTTGCCAGTTCCTAAACTTGCTCTGCTTGTTTCTCTGAACAATGGAACTGTAACTTGGTTTCCTACTTAGCAGTGACCTTAATATGAAAATTTGGAGATATCAAAATTCATTTTTCTTTTACTTTACCAAGTTTCTATTCTCTTCTGTTTGGGCTCTCAGAGCAGTTCACACTACCTCCATTTATACATGTGAGAATATACTTAAAAATAAGCTGAGCCTTAGTTTCATTATATCCGTAGCACACTATGCTGCAATGGTGAAACTATAAATAGTTCCCACTAGTTCCACAATTCTGTACTTTCACATGGGCAACTCTAAGCTAAAACAGTGGCTAGTAAAACATGAGTGTTGTTCTCCACTTCAAATGTTGCCAAAAGTACTTATCTATAACCTGAAACAAATGGTTCAAAGGAGACAATAAATGGAAGAAAGTAGTATGAAAATGTATCTTTATATCAGAACTGGGCAAAACGTCTTTCTATGTTTTGAACAAAACTCTCTTTCTCCTTCCCCCTCCCCTCTGAATTAACACAGTAATTAATGATAAGTATTTTTGTATCAATCATAAATGAACTAAATGAACTGTAAACAACTTTTGTTAAACTACTCATTTGAAAGTGATCATTAGCTAGATTGTTCATCAAGAGTATATGCGGTAGTGTATTGATGACAGCATGGAACAAAATGTATAGAAGTGTAATTCAAAGTTTTTAATACGTGCTGATACCAATCAACATTATATGCTTCAGAAGAAAGCAGTTTTCTGTTTAGTAGCTTCATCTTTTGGACAACTAAGGGCATTTCTAAATTTTAAAAAAATTAACACTGTACCTCTGAAAACAAGTTATTAAATTTCCGCATAAATTTTTATGCTTATCATTATGAGTCCATATATCTTCCATTGTCTTGGACTGCAATCATCAGCAGCAGCCAAAAAACCAACCTATTATTAATTTATTTAGAAATGATATTTCTCTACTGCTTCTTATTGCAAATATTTGAACTCTACAAACATACAGATATGTTTTATTATAGCTGAACCAATGTTCTGATCTCCCTTAAGCAGCTACATGAAACCACAATGCTGGCTTTCCCCACTTGCTACATTTCCAGATTCAATTGAAAATGATGCCTGGGAATTTGATGTTCCCAGTCAGTCACATTGAGGAAAGTTCTGCAGTGTGTGTAGCAAGGGCCAACTTGTATTTGTAATAGTAAATGTTTGGTTTTAGAAAGCAGAAAACATTTTTAAAATGAGATTCTGTTCCAGTACAACTGCCTCATCTGGTTAGATTGGATCCATCCAACACCTTTATCCAGCCAGAAATTATCAAGCAGCTTACCCATTTTCTGTCAGATTAAAAACTGCAATGAGAAAGCAGGATGTTTTAAATAAATCTTATTTCTTGTCTTTGTTGTTAATTAAACCAAATTAAACAATTAAAAGCTCTTTTTTATACCAAACAAACGGGCACTGAATGAAATAACTGTTTATGAAACCAACAATTGTGGTTTAAAAAAAAAGAGAGAGAGAAAACTAAAAACTCAGCAGCTGGTTTACTCAGTTCATTTTTATAGTACAACATATTTAATCAATAAAGCATAAACTACAACTTTGTTTGAACAAGTGGTTTAATCCATGTGTGAAACCAGTTACTGTGGAAATGGGAAACAGAACTCTCCTTAATAGCTTTTGCTTATGTAGAGCCTTTATACATGATGGGAAGCTAGCAGTGGAATATTGATTAGCATAATTTGCTAAATAAAGATTTGTTTAGTAAGCCACAATTGATAAAGATTATGCAACAACCAGGGCTTATAAACACCATGAACCAGGTTCATAAATCATGATCAGATATCTTGACTTAGCATAATCTATGAAGCCAAGATGATATGAATATTATTGTTGAATAACAATATTCATAATAGTAAGGAAAGATAATCAAAGTTTACATCCTCCAACTATATCTGTAACACCAAATACCCACATCTGCCAATCCCAGGTCCTTGGGAAAGACTCGATAGGCAGACAAGAGTGCCAAATCCAGTCTGAACATCTGTGTGATGAACAAACAATAAGGAAAAATAATGTCTATAGCCCTAAAATACAAGCTATTGGCCCCATTTTTATTTTTTATTTCTTTGAAGAACATATCTAGTTTTATATGCAATTGTATTTTTATTTGAACAACTATAGACACTGCCCATACAAAGCAATTGTACCAATAACTGATACATATTTTACATACTGGGAGAAGAATAAGAAATAAGATTAAAGACCAATTTGTTGGAGTGCCAAGTGATCTTGTCTTATCCTGAAAAATTAATCAAAGTCAAACATGATTAGCATTTGATGGGGAGAGACAATCACAAGATTTCATAATGGGACTGTGGGCTAGTTAGGGAAGTTTGAAAAAAAGTGCTAGAATATTATAGTGGGAAATTGCTTCCAAACTGTTGCTGAAAAACTAAGTGAACATATCCATGAAGATACCACAGAATAAAATACAGCCTAGATATCAGCTGATCACGCACATTAGACAACAGTAGCTGTCACAGAACAATAGTAAGAATGTATCAGTCAGGAAGAAATAATACTTTATTTCTCTTGGAAAGGATTAGCTGACAAGCAAGTGACTTATTTGGAGGCCCTTCTAAAAACAGTAGGGTACTGTACTGTGCTGTACTGTTCATCACTACTGTAGTGCATTTTTGATGCAGCTCACTCAGGCTGTTTACAACAAGGCTACAATCATAAGCACCCATTAAAAGCTAAGACATTGAAATTATATTATACTGTATGTAATGATAGTATACTACAGGTAGTACTCCACTTACAACATTCATTTTAGTGACCATTGGAAGTTACACTGGCACTGAAAAAAGTAACTTGTCTGCTTTTCATACATATGACCAGTGGTGGGATTCGAATTTTTTTACTACTGGTTCTGTGGGTGTGGCTTGGTGGGCATGGCAGGGGAAGGATACTGTAAAATATCCAGTCAGAGGTGGTATTTGCTGGCTCTCCAAACTACTCAAAATTTCTGCTACTGGTTCTCCAGAACTGGTCAGAACCTGCTGAATATCACCTCTGCATATGACCATTTCAGCATCCCCAAGATCATGTGATCAAAATTAAGATGCTTGGCAACTGACCCATATTTATGATGGTTTCAATGTCCTGAGGTCATGGGATCATCTTTTGCCACCTTCTGATAAGCAAAATGAATGGGGACGCAAAATTCACTTAGCAACCGCATTAGTAACTTAACAACTGCAGTGATTCACTTAACAAATATGGGAAGGGAGGTCGTAAA